TTGGTGTTCAGTGGTCTGGCAGTCTGCAGAACTACATCTTGTCTATACTCCCATTTAAAAAAAAAAAAAAAGCCTTCTGGAAAGCTTTCTAGTTACTTTTCATGCTTGAATGGGTTTTGCTGTGTTTTTTGAGGAATCATCAAGCAGACTATTGATGGTAGAGCTTTAAGTAGCTGATTGATTGATGATTGTAATATCTATGTGAAGTTTTGGTACACTATTTAAAATTCCCTTTTAACAGAGAGCACATGGAACATACAAGTGTTTGAAGAAATGGAAACTAATGCAATTTAAAAAAAGACATTTAGTGGAGAAAGTTTTCCCTGAGAAATACACATTAAATAAGTTCAAATAAGGTCAAATTGTTACTTAAATGCTAGCGAGAATCAAAATGTGAATCTACCTTTTGAGTTCTTTGTACATCAATGCAACAAAGCTCTGCTTATTTGTATTTATGGCAATCAATATTTTAGGTGCTAGTAAGCTTAATAAAAGATGCAAATTAATATATTTGTAGTTTAGAAGAATTAAAAGGCTGGGAACATGAGTGGAAAATAAATCCATAGTCTAGCAAAGTAACTGCATACAATTTGGCTGAAAATTTACATACAGTGTAATAAAAAGGAGGCCTCAATGCTATAATACTTATCTGTAAAGTGGAAACCCTTGCTCTGTCATATTTGTATCCCTGCCTGATATAGAATTAATATATATTTTTTAAATATACATCTGAGTTTGCAAGACCACTAAAGCTATACAAGCTGTTGCTCACTACTAGTAAAGTATATCAGAACTGATTCAGTCTGGATTCTGCTTGGTTTGGTAGGGACCTTGGAAAGCACTGTGGTGGTAAAACATCACTGTGAATTAATACCTGCCCAGAATGCAGAAAACTTGCTTTCAAGAAGATCAGTTGCATTGATGCAGTGATTTGTAAAACAGACAGAGCAGGTGTATTTCTTCATTTTACTTTAGTTTCATTGCTGTCAGGTGGCTTGCCCATTCAGCTTTTTCATACCATCCAGAAATGTGGCTCTTAACTTGCTGTTTTTTTCTTAGCTTTGTTTTGCAGTGATTTTTGTGTTGGTTGCTCTTCTCATCTGCTATTTGGTCTTGAGCTTGGACTGGAGCTGGGAATTACATTTCTGTTTTTATTGTGTATGCCTAGATGTTTCTCACTAAATCAGGCATTCCTAGGAGCATACCTTTTTTAGCTAGAGGGCAGTCTGCCTTCCAGATGCTGAGGTGACATCTTGAACTTGTCTTGATGTCTGGATAAGTGCTACTATTAAAGCTGAAACATGAACCTCTGAATCTGAATTTGTATTTAAAATTGCTCTCCAGCCAAGATCTCTATGAAATTAAATGTACTGATTTTTTTTATAAGTGTACATATCCTGTAGTTTTGCAATAGTTTCATAATCAAGTTTAACCCTCAAAATATTTAACTTGGTTTCTTCCTACTATCCATCCTCGAGAATTAAGCTCAAGTAATTTGAAGCACTTAGGCAGAGCTCAGAGACTCAGTGGCTCATTGTTGTGTTGCCTACAGGTCTATAATTTGAACTACCTGTGCAACCAGAATGCTTGAAGATAAACCAGTCTCCTGGCAAGTTTTTGACCAGTGACATATTTTACTACCACAGGCTAATTCTTTACTGGTCTTGTTTAAGGAGAACTTGTTCAAGGATTTAATCTTTGTTTATTTGTGGCATTTAAGGAGAAGTTGACAAGAAAGATAATGGTCTTTTTAGCAGTGATGCAGTATAGCTTGGAAATGCACAGTATGGTGTACCTAGTCCTACTTAAATTTCAGTAATGAGTCTTTTGTTTGTAAAGTAAATCAAATCAGAATAAAGCTTACTCCTAATTTAGATTAGAGTACAAGATAAAGTAGCTTGCTTGTATTAAGTGTACCAGAAGAAGGAAGTAGTAAAAATCAAGACTGCTTCTGTGTTTAGGTGAAGCTGTCTTCAGGATAATTTTTTTCCAGCTACTCAGAGGCCACCTATGTTGAACCTAAGAACGTTCAATATTCTGGGTAGTTAGGAGAGCTATTCACAGTATCCTTGCCAAGTTGTTTGTTAATCTAGTTTCCCAGCTTGCCATAGGAATGGTAGTGGTACTGCTGGATAGTAATTGCTGAATTCTACAAAGCTTTTTATCAGCTCGTGTGCTGCGCAGTTACCTGAAGCAGTAGCAGAGGAGGAAGGTAACTCATATGAAGTAAAAATGGAAGCATAACCTGATTTACTAAATTTTATACTAAAATGTGATTGCATTTTCTTCCAGAAATGAATGGACCTAATAGGCTTATGTAAGCAGCCTTCTCTAGAGAGAAAGGATTGTTTCTCAAGCAGCATAAGCCTGTTCCACATGTTATGTTCAGCAGTACTGTCCTGTTCACAGGAGTGTTGGGGAACTAGTTAATCCATACACAGATTGTTAAGATTGTCTATGGATGTGGTTAAGATCTTTGAAAGATCTTTAGGTATTTAATGGTTTGAAAGGTTGATATGGAAAATATAACACTTGTTATGATAGGCTTGAAGATTCTGTGCTTCTGGAATGGTTTTTGAGAAGTTTGGGAATGCCTTCAGGCTTTTTTTGAATACAAAAGGATAATCACTTGTATAAGTTTAATCATCACTCGTGACCTCTTCAGAAGGAACTGGAAAGAAGCTTTCTCTAATCTTGTTTGCATGTTGTTTACATTCAGTGGAATACACTTGCAAAACTACAATCCCCATGTAGCAGATCCTAAAACTAAGTTCATGGCACACAGGTGGTCAAAGTACATGTTCTGGAAGACCATATATCAAACATTCAACTTGAGTTGAGATCCCTTGTCAACAGAAGGCTGAAATTGAAAGAAGCTGCAGGTGCCTGAATCTTTAGAGTCTCTAAGATGCCTGTAGTGATCTCATTCTTCATGAAGTCAGAGCTGCCCCAGAACTCCCCCAGTACTTCTGCTTTTTGTTGGTTATGGTCACTTGAAGGAGGAGTTGGTGGCATGCCATTAGAAGGGGAAGTTTTAACCAATTAATGTTTTAGGTGATGAGTGTGGATGGGTGTGCGTTGTTTCAATTTTTCTTCGAGAATATTCATGACTATTTATCTATTCTAGGGTCACTGGGATACCTCTTGAAGTATGCTTTAGTTTTATAAATCTATTTTTATTAACTCAGTGTCAGAAGCAACAGTTAAATATTTAAGATTGCACTGGTTTTGTAAATTGTTTAAAAATAAAACCTCCTATCAGATATTAGCTTTTGGAGCCCATTTTTGTTTGGGAGAGAAGAAAAGTTGTCCCTGACTGATTGTGTCTAAAATTATGTAAGCAGTAACCCAATTACAGGGTAATACAACATTAAGAAACCTTTTTGGGAGAAGGCATTTCTGGTGGTAATAGATATTTTTCAAAATGACAGCCTCATTCCTGTTCTAGATTTGTTTGTCTTTATTAAATTTGTGAATATGAAGTAATTAAAAATTGCCTAGATACTAGTGAATGTGATTGTATTGTCTTTATGGCCTGAGGCATGGTTCTAGTCTGGGGTAACTCCTGAAGTCATCACTTAGCCTGGGGCTATTTTTCTATGTCTCTTCTTCTGAGAAAGTGCCAATTGAATTTGGCTACTTTGAAAAGCTTTTATGGCTTTGATATGGGTTGAAAGCTGCCAGAGATGAGAATGATCAAACCCATTACACTCTAACATTATTCCATTTGTTTAGTCACTCTTGGTGCACAGATGGGATCTGAAAGAAAGCTGTCTTGAGCAAAACTATCATTAATAATTCACACTTCTTTACACTTGTATGTACTCTATTTCTCCAAAAGGAAAGCTATTGTATACCTGTTTTTGTATTCCTGTAATTGTGCATGTGCTTCATCAGGAAGTTTCAAAAAGTAGTCATTAAGAAGAAAAGAGATTTAAGTACCTAAACACTTAATATGGGGATGCACACTTTCTACTAGGAAGTGTTTCAAAACCACAGTGAGAACATAGCCTTCTTTCTAGGATATGCCTTAGGGGCTGGCAAGTTTGTACTTGGAGGCAGGGAGGTGGCAAAGCATTTTATAGAAACAGACCTTAAAAATTACAAGGGTCAGTCTCCAGCTGAGTTCTTGGTCTACTTACACACTACTTTAGAACACTGTGGCATTAATTGAAGAAGGTATTTTGGTTTATGCTTATACTCAAGTACGTTTTTAATAAGTTCAATTTTCTATTTTTCTAAAAGTAACTTTAAAAGAAGAATAAAGCAAAAACATTAACCAGTGTTAATGACAGTAGTGTCTCAGCTGTTTCATCATACCCTGAATTTTATAACTAATATTAAACAAGTCTGTCATATTCCCTAAAATGGGTTTGTTACCAAGAGTTTTCTTTGTATCAAATAACATGTATGCATGAAATTATATTTCTTTCTCCAATAAGTGCTTAATTGTAAAAGCAATTTCTTAAAATGTTATCTGCCCTGTCCTAATAGGGGCTCCTAATAAGGTCCACCTGTTCTCCAGAAAATGAAGTACTCCCATTCTCACGCAAATTTGACTTTTCACACTGTTTTAAATTCTCATCTAATTCTGTGATCTTTTCCAGATGTTTTCTTTATGTATATTAAGAAAATAATTTAAGGATGCTTACAGACTTTTTTTGCAAGTTGAGCTGGAGTGAATGAAGAAATTAATACTTTCAGCTGTGGTTAGAATGAATCTCAGCATTAGAATTGGTAGCTATAAATACAAAAACAATTTAGCTGAAATAGCTTTTAACAGTCAGCAATGACAAAGGAGTGTTACTTCATCTCTGCTTCAGGAGAAGTAGCTCTCAGATGGTGACTAAGTATTTTACAGAGATGGTATCTTAAGTTGTTATACCTAGAGTTTTTGCTTACTGAATCTTAGCTCTTTAAAAGTTCTGAACTGTTGTTGTAATACTCAGTTACTAGGATCCAAATGTTTCATAATCTGATGTTACCTTATTTCTCTCCAGGGGCTATTATTACCATCCTGTCCTTCTTCAGCTGCTTTCCCTTGAGTGGGCCTGGTAAGTTTCTGCGTTTTCTTATGTAGTCTTGTCAAAACAAAGATTAATTTGGTTTTGGCCATTTCTCTCCCTTGAAAAGGAAATGTAGGGCAAGAATGTGTTTTTTCTTTAGACCTGCTATTTGTGTTGTTATAGCCACTAGTCAGCTCTGTTTATTGGAATTGAAAATTGCATTTAGAATACATTAAGAAAAATACAGTACATCATCACTCATTGTTATCTGTACTGCTTAACAAATTTATAGCAAGAAACTGGTAGTGCCTGTGGTATTGTGATTGGCACTGGATGTTTGTTTAATTGCTTTGTTTCAGTAAGTAAAGGCCTTTGTTTCTGAGAAACCTAATTTTTGCCAAACCTTGGCATATCAAAAATGACTTAACTTTATTTCTTGAAGTCTTGTATGGCTTTTTTAATTTTCTTGTAGTTATTTGTTTAAAAACTATTTCCCAGTGAAATAGTGGTAGCTGTAGGTTTTTCTCATTCTTGGTGTGATTGTGTGAGACTTTGACTTCTAGATTATCTTGCCTGAGCATGCTGTGCTCCATGAACATAGCTGTAGCAATGCAAAGCTTAACAGATCTTGATGCTTGCAGTAAGGCAGAAATTGTGATGAAAGCTGAAATGTTTGCCCTGTATTTTAATGGCTTTGCCTAAATAAAGTATACTTGACGCTTTTCCATCCAGAATGAAGACAAATGTGAAGATGGCATGTCCAAGGAATTTTAAAAGGTGTAGACCTCCTGACTGAGAGGCGCTGTGTATTTTATTCTTTTAAATAAAGTAAGTATGAATCAAGGCTACCTTGCTAGGGGTTAAATGTGCCTGTTTTATGTATATAGCATGCATGTGCTTATACATGGATGTATGACAGTAACAGGCAATTTGTGTTAGAAGGCTACACTTTCATTAGTATGCTTAAATGTTGTGGTGGAATAAGTCTGGGAGTTATATATAAATATATGTAATGTAAAACTGCTTTTTTGAGGTGGGTTTTTTATTCCTTTATTAATTGGGAAAAATGAAGTAATCCAGTATAAAATGATAAATTACAAGAATAGTGATTTGTACCATATGGCTTTGATTTTTTTTTTATTTTTTATAAGTAAAATAACTCAAACAGAAGGATTGCTAGTAATATCTCAGGTACTACTTTAACTCCTACCTGTTTGTTTATTTTACTTGACAATACCCAAATGTTTAATCAAAACACCCTGATTTCTTTTGGTACTTTCTTTTAAGTTTTTTGCATTTTGAGTAACTTTCACTAGAAAATAAAATGAAATCATGGCAAGGGTTAAGTGCCAGAAGTTCTTAGATCCTTTTGCTAAACTGTGGGTGTTAAACCAATGTTGTGTTACATGCACAAATCATGAAAACAATCATAAGCTTCAAGCATTTAATACAGAGAAATGTTTTTTTAACAATTCTAAGGTTGTCTTTTTTTTCTTCTACCAGCTGCTGTTCTCTCACAGGTGAAAGTCATGATCACGCTAACAGAACTCAAATTCTTAGCAGATGCTCAGTCATCCTACCACATACTAAAACCATGGTGGGATGTCTTCTGGTATTACCTCACCATGATAATGCTGCTAGTTGCTGTGCTTGCTGGGGCACTTCAGCTTACTCAAACCAGAGTGTTGTGTTGTCTTCCTTGCAAGCTAGAATTTGACAATCATTGTGCCGTGCCTTGGGATTTAATTAAAACCAACCTTAACATGTCTGCTAGCTCTACTGCACAGATAATCATCCCACTTAAAATCCAGAATGATCTCCATCGGCAGCAGTATTCCTATATTGATGCAGTATGTTATGAGAGACAGCTTCATTGGTTTGCCAAATTTTTTCCATACCTAGTGCTTCTGCATACCTTTATTTTTGCAGCTTGCAGTAATTTCTGGCTTTACTATCCTAGTACAAGTTCCAGGCTTGAGCACTTTGTAGCAATTCTTCAGAAGTGTTTTGATTCTCCATGGACAACACGTGCCCTCTCAGAAACAGTTGCTGAGCAGTCTGTGAGGAAGTTGCCAGTTGCCAAATCAAAAGCAGTGATTTCATCGCCTGGGAGTTCAGCAGATGTAGGTGCCAGCAGACAGTCCCTGCCATATACACAACCTGGCTTGGAAACAACCGGAAGAGAAAATTCAAGTGTTCTTGACAAAAAAGAAGGAGAACAAGCTAAAGCTATATTTGAAAAAGTGAAGAAATTCAGAGTGCACGTTGAAGAGAAGGATGTCATATACAGAGTGTATATGAAACAGATCATAGTCAAAGTCATTGTGTTTGTAATAATAATAATTTATGTTCCCTATTATTTATCCTTTATTAAACTTGAAATTGATTGCATAGTTAATGTACAAGCCTTTACAGGCTACAAAAGGTACCAGTGTGTTTATTCGCTAGCAGAGATTTTTAAAGTTTTGGCTTCATTTTATGTTGTTTTAGTGATCTTCTATGGCTTAACTTGTACATATAGCTTGTGGTGGATGTTAAGAAGCTCACTTAAGCAATATTCTTTTGAGAAGTTGAGAGAGAAAAGTAACTACAGCGATATACCTGATGTAAAGAATGACTTTGCATTTATTCTCCACTTGGCAGACCAGTATGATCCTCTTTATTCCCAGCGATTTTCAATATTCTTGTCTGATTTGAGTGAAAACAAACTGAAACAGATAAATCTGAACAATGAATGGTCAGTGGAAAAACTGAAAAATAAGCTAGTAAGAAATTCCCAGGACAAGGTTGAACTTCACCTTTTCATGTTAAGTGGTCTTCCAGACAGTGTCTTCGAACTGACAGAAATAGAAGTCCTAAGCTTGGAACTTATTCCTGAAGCGAAACTTTCTTCAGCTGTGACCCAGCTAGTCAATCTCAAAGATCTCAACGTTTATCATTCATCAATAACTATGGATTATCCAGCAGTGAGCTTTTTAGAAGAAAATCTGAAAACGTTGCGGCTGAAATCTAGTGAGATGGGAAGAATTCCATTTTGGGTATTTCATCTGAAAAACCTCAAAGAATTGTGCTTAACAGGATATTTCATGCTTGATCATCACAACTCCATTTACAATGAAAGCTTTCAGGGGCTAAAAAATCTGAGATCAATTCACTTAAAAAACAACCTTTCTCGCATACCTCAAGTGGTTACAGATCTTCTGCCTTCTTTGCAACACTTATCTATCAACAACGAGGGGAATAAACTCATAGTGCTAAATAACTTGAAGAAGCTTGTGAATTTGAGAACCTTGGAATTAATCTGCTGTGATCTAGAGCGTATTCCTCATTCCATTTTTACCCTAAACAACTTGCATGAAATTGACTTAAGAGAAAATAATCTCAGAACGGTGGAAGAAATCATTAGCTTTCAACATCTTAAGAACTTGTCTTGCTTAAAGTTGTGGCACAACAGCATTTCATATATCCCAGTGCAAATTGGTGCATTATCAAACCTGGAACAATTGTATCTAAATTACAATAATATTAAAGATGTTCCATTGCAGCTGTTTCTTTGCAAAAAGTTACAGTATTTGGATCTTAGCTATAATAAGCTAACCTCCATCCCTGAAGAAATCGGTTATCTGAGCAATCTACAGTACTTGGCTTTGACTAAAAACCATGTAAGTAGAACTTTGAATTACTAATTTAAAAAATATTTTTAAAATTAATAATATATTGACTTGCATTCCTTCTGTGGCAGTTTCTGATTGAAAGTGCTTTTTTGGTGTACATGGTTAAAATAAACTCAGTGAAGATAAGAAGTAGGTGGTGCTTGTCCAATTGCTAGAACTTTGTGGTGTCATCAAAGCTTGTTTAATACTGAATAAGTACCACTCTGGTCTTGTAGTGGCTTAAGAACTCTGACCTATAATCCAGGATAGTACACGCCAGGTAGATGCTAAAATGTCTCTACTGTTCCTTACAGTCTATTCCATGTAGCATATTAATGGAAATTGGCAGTGTGACATTTTTACATTGTTTTGTCACAGTGAAAGCTTAGCAAATCAGCAGCTGGTTTATGAGCAGCACAGCTGCCTGGCTGGGATGGGGGAAATAATTATGCCTGGTAACCTCATCAGCAATGCTAAGCTGACTGGCTCATTATTGTAGGGTCCAGGTTTGACTTAAGACTTCTCTTCGAGTTTAGAACTGTTTTCACTGGTGAGATTGGTTTTAGATGTTAATGTCAATAACATGGATTGGGACTAATTACCACTGTGTGGTTAACTGCTTCTACAGGCTTCAGAACACTGGAGCTGCTAATGTTTCTCCACAGAATCTGCTTCATCTTCGTTAAATGATTCTTAGGAAATAGTGGTTTGTTTATTCACCCCTGCCACCTGCATGCATTTGTACAGACTTGAGTGTACACACATGTATGTGCTCTCCCCTGCTGTGCTTCTGCTTTGACTTCTGCCAATAGCTAAGCATCTTCATAACAAAGCAGGTATATGAAAACACTGAGGTGTTCTCAGGCACTTTCTCACCTGATGATAAAACACTAGTTATCCCTTTCCATATTCTTCCATAAACAAAGAGCTTGCTTACCCTAAAACAAAATTGGGAAATATGAGAACGTGCAGCAGTGCGTTAACAAATTTTAATGTATATTATTTTTCTCTTCTCTCTTTTTTTCTAGATTGAAATGTTGCCTGATAGATTGTTTCAGTGCAAAAAGCTGCAATTTCTTCTTCTGGGAAATAACAGTCTGATGAATTTGTCCCCTCTTGTGGGCCAGCTACTGAATCTTGTTCACTTAGAGCTCATTGGAAACTATCTTGAATCACTTCCTGCTGAACTGGAAGAATGTCAGTTCCTAAAACGGAATAGTCTAATTGTAGAAGAAAGGCTGTTAAAAACACTTCCACCTCGTGTAAGAGATCGCTTGCAGACCAGCTCAGATAAGTGCTAAGCTCAAACTAAAACTCTGCATCAGTGCATCCTGTAAGCCTTCTTGCTTAATACTCTCTTAAGGTCTGTATAGATGGAGAGAATAGCAGTTTACAGATTAGTCTTAAATGCATTGAACAGAGTTGATTGTATTGGGAAAGAAAAACATACTTAAACAAAAAATACAGCCTTTGACAGGTAATCATATGTTTAGAAAATCTGAAATATGAATTGCTGGTTGGATTCTGATTGAAATAATTTGATTAAATTCTAATGTATTGGAATGGAAGAGTTGATTGCCTGGCTATCATGAGTTTGTATATACTTTCTTTCCTATGAGGAAATTTTTTCTGTTGGTAGTGATAATTTTAAACAGTTTCATCTCCTGCCATATGAGGCCTAAGAACTGTCTGGAATTAGTTTCTAAATGCGAAGTCTTCACTAACTTAGAATGCTAAATAAAAAATTTAAACTTTTCAAGCAGTTCAATTGCATGGGATATACTGAAAATCTTTTTCACGGTACCTTAACTTTTGAAGGTTTTTGACAAGTACTGAGTGTTAATTCTATAATTGTGGAAGATGCCATTTAAATCTTGCTAGTAAAGCCAGTTGGACAACAATACCTGAAACCACTTCCAATATTTTGTCTTAAAGATAGTAAGTACAAAACAAAACATTGCCTAGAAATTTGGATGAATCAGGACAATCTAGAGTAAGTGTTGTGCATGTGTACTAATCAAATCTTACAGTACTGATCATAAAGTTGGCAAACAGCACAAAATTACAAAGTTGTCTTCTGTATGTTGTGAGCATCCCAAATGTTAAGTGTAATGTATGTTGTTATTTAATGTTTTTCAATAGCCTCTCACTTACTGACTGCCTCAATGCTTCTTCTCCATGCCCAGTTATGATATTTTAGTGACTGGGAAGAAAATGAAAGAGGTTTAGGACTGAAAGACACAGTTAGAACAAACCAAATAATCACTTAATACTTAGTAAGTACTTGAGAAGGAAAAATAAGAGTTATAAGCCTTGTCTCTTCTAGGAATTGAATAATTTCATAAATTACAGTGATGAAATGAGTTCATATGCCATCCTTAATACTTGCAACACTGGATGGAAATAAAATGTTTCCTGACTTACTTCATTCTTCTGCTGTGCACTATTTTATTGTGTTTGGAGACTTTGCAGACATTTATCATGTTCACTTTAAAAGTTCTCCCTCTCGTGGGGGATGTTTGGGGGGGAGGGAGGGGGAAGGAGTATGCTTTCCAGAACCCTCAGACTTGAAAACTTCTTGTAGTATCTTGAAGTTCTTGAAAATGTAATCTGTTACAGTAAAATCAATAAGGTAAACTGTGCTCTTAACTACTGCATTTTCATAAAGTATGCTACCTATGCATTCCACTTTGTAAATATAAATAATCACAGATAAGTCAGTTTTAGTACTAGGGTGCTTCTAGTCATCTCTTCCCATTTCAGTGTCACTTACATGGAGAATAAGGTCTATTTTGAAAATATAAGCAAATCTGGTCAATGTGAAAGCAGGACATATCCCTATAGTAGCAGTGCAAGAAGTAAATAAAGTATGTCTTTATTCACTGTACTGATGGTGTTCCAAAGACTTCTGTAGCTAGAACACTTTTTTTTTTCTCAGGGAGCCAATGCATTGTAACTTGTGTTTTATGTAGTTCTAGAAATGTTTAGTATAAGTTGGTTAGTTGTATTCATGTGCAGATTAGTACAGCTGGGGTAATCTTTCATAGCATCCATAAGCAGCTTTCTCAAACTCTATTTACATCTGATTTTGAATTGCACAATAATTCATAGGTATTGATGTGGTTCGCAAACAGAGCCAGTTGTGCCAGCCATGGTAAATATGATTAAAATGGAGTACACTGATATGCACCCCTGTGGCTGGTGTTTTGTTAGTAATTGCAGTAGATTCCTGTCAGGACTTTGTAACTTAACACTGGAGAATGCTTCGTGGCAGAATTTGACACACAAGGCTTGTAGCCTAGCAATTTAAAAGAAAGATTAAGCAAGTGTTTTCTTTGCGGCTTTTTTGAAATGAGAAAGCTGTGTTGAAAGTTACATAGGTGAGTATATGGTTTTGTCCAATACCTTCAAAATTTTTAGTAGTGTATCTGTCCTCTTTATCAACACAAGAGACAGGTGAACGATGCTATCAGTGTGCATTTCTATTTCACTATGACAAAACTAGCGTAAGCTTTGAAAGGTACTTCATTTCTAAACTGTATAACCTCCAGTCCTTTGAACCAGTAAGAAATGTGTGAGTATGCACGTGTTTTACAGTTTAAGTTGCATTTGTTATTCAGGCTTATTTTTTTCAATCTGCACCACTTCAAGAGGATTGGGTTTTTTTGTTTTTTTTTTTTTTTTACTGAATACTTGAGTGTTTACAAGACATCTAGAGAAAGGCCAGAGAGTTTAATTGCTAGAATCTCCAGCCTTGTTTTCAATCCACAGTGTGCCTTTATTACCCATTTTGTACCATTAAGCACAACTCTAGTGCTTAGAAATGGAGACAAAAGCAACTCTAAATTTCATACATTTATTTTGATCATGACCTTAATATTTAATATTTCTTCAAACTGAGGAGGTTTTCAGGGAATCAGTATAAATACACTATCATAAGTTTTGTACAATAAGCAGTGCTGGCATTTAGTCTTTGTATTTAATAATTGCTTTCAAAAAAAGCTTTTCAAGTTGTTTCAGTGTTGTGTTGACCCTTGTATTGTGACCTTCCCTATCTTGAATGCTTTTAAAAAAAAAAATAAATTTTTTTGCATTACAATTCTATGAACTGTTTTTTATTTCCCATATGAGATGTGGTATTGAATATGAAGCTCAGAAAATCTGCTTCCAGCTATCTATATGCTAGCAGTTGTGTCTTCAGGAGACCATGAAAGAAAAAAACAGCAGTGGAAAATGAACACTGTGCTCCATTTCAAAGAAACGTTCTCATGTTCTGGGCTTGGAGGAGAAGCTCCTAGAAACAAGTTTGCATCTTAATAGTTGTTCTGCAAACTACAGGCCTTCCACTCAGTTCTTAGGAGCTGAGTAAAAGTGGAATGCAGCCTGGAATTGTACTGAGAGATGTGGGGAAAGCAATGATTCTCTTCCTGGTTTGTCCTTTACGGCTGTCACACAGTTAAAGTGCTAAAAATAATGCTGTTTGTATTAAGTCATGCATGTGTTTCAAGTGCTGCTTATACTGTGAGCTTGAGAATCTCATTTCTCTTGCCTAATAGTTTTCTTTGTGGGAAACTGTTTTTCTTCTCTTTTTTGAACAGAAGGAAAAAAAATCGTTGTGCATATATTACTTGTTCAAGTGCTGATTTTGGATCTTTTAAAACAAAAACCTTTCTTGTCAACTTTACAATACTGTCTCTCGGTGATGAAATTAAATATCTGGATCTGTAGAAGCCTAGAACAACAGCTTTAATGAGATTGATTGCCTTACTTTACTAACTTTACTAACGGATTTTCTATGAACTGGTTTAAAAAAAAAAAGTTCCTGGTAATGTTAGTAAAGTAAGGCAATCAATCAAATCAAAGATTAATGCTCATGAAGGTCAGATTATTGTATTTCTAATGACTTTTTTGCCAGTATATTTACATCATGTTGACAGACTTAACTGGTATTTCTGCACTGGCTTTCCATCTTTTGAATGTGAGCTGAAGTTCTCTCTGTGATCCTTTCCAGGCGAATCTTTCCCTCTTCACTTTCTATCTCAATAAATGCTGGGATTATAGAAAACAATATAAGAGCAACTGAAGTGTATTCTAGTAGTAACGTGGCCCCAAATCCTGAAAGCAGAAGGCAGTGTGTGCAATCCTATACTTTATATCAAGGATTTTATGGAACTCTGGATACTTCTGTAAATCAGTAATTGACAAAGCTGTCACCTTAGCCTTGGTGGGTGAGTCCTTTGAATGCCACAGTATGTTTTAACCTGGTGTTGAGCTCTACTATGCTGATATCCTACACACCCTGTGGGGAAATATATATATCTGGTTGAGAACTACGGTACGAAAATATCCCATTTTCTCACAGCAATGAACTAAGGCAATTCCAGTTCTGCACGTTGGTTGCTCTGTGTATGTGTATTGTATCTGAGGAGACACAGTGAAAAGATTTGCAAGTTTTTGAGCTAGCATCAAACTAGTTGCAATCTGGCTGTTACTGCAGCATGCTATTTAACTCCTAGTGGAGACAATTGGCTTGTGTGTCTCAGAAGGTGACTTTCAGTTGAGATGTAGAAACTGCAGCTTGCTTGCTGTCATGATGGAGTTGATAGCTAATGCAGACTGGCAACAGAGGAGGAATAGTACTTAACTAATTGGAAAAACTAAGTCCTACTACAGTGCTGTCTGCTTGTAGGATATGGTAATGTCACTAGAATTCCTGTCTGAAGAAGTCACCATTGTGGCATTACATGAGTTCATCTCCTTTCTCTGCTGCCAGGACATATAGATGATGGAGAGGCAGTAGCAGTTCACTCTGGGGCTGGATTGGCCTCTGAAGGGGTTTAGGAATTAACTCAATTTAGTGTGTTTAGTAAATGAAGTGTTACATTTGTCTTCTTGTTTCCTTATGTTCTTCCATTTATGTGAATATATCTGTTCTTTGTCCAACCTCTAATAACTCAATCTATTTTTATCACATTTGTACATTAGTGTTCTCTTTGCTAAGCAGGAGCTGGCTAAAAGGCTTTCAAGTTGGATGGCTTGTACATGCAAATCCCAAGAAATCTAATGATGTAGGAAGAAAAATCTGGATTTCTCCAAGTAAGGGGGAGGTGTCTTGGAAGAATTGTAGTTAGTGTTTATTGCCCAGCAAAGCTATTGGGATCTAACTGGGAAGTATTACTTGCTGGTAGGTGGTTATGATGTGTATGGTGCTTAACACAGTGAGGCATTAGTCTAAAGCACTTGTGGGCATGCTATTAAAAAGTCAGGTGAATGTGTTACTTAATATTGAAAATGCTATTGTGTATCACATAACTGATATTTCTGCTGTTTATAAGACTTACATATAAATATTCCTTAATTAAATAAACTTCCCTTCTTTTTCTCATTAATTCTTGCATATCTCCATGTTGCAGAACAAGTGCTATTGTCAAAATGCTTTGCAAAGCAGCTAACACAATTAGTATTTGAAAAGTATGTATGTATGAAAACTAAGTCTAGTGGAGGTCTGTGGGAATGCCAGTCACTACATTCTCAGTAATGACAACATGATACTTAATTTGCTAGTTTTCTGCCTCTAACAAGTTCAATTATCTTGGTACAGTCTGACAAGTACCAAAGCTTGTAGGAAAAAGGGATAACTAACAAGAACCTCCTCTTATGATGGATACTTAGGGTACAACTTTGCACTTGCTTGCCAAGAAATTATCCTTGGCCGCTGCTTTTTATAGTACTTTTTTTCAATTAAGTGGCAATAATTTCTAGAGGTGAACTACAATATACATATGGATACATATATACCTATAAGTATTGAATCCAGATCTAATATTAAATGTGTCTGGGGCACAGTTCTTATAGTAAATATGCTCTTCTATCTTAGTGTACCTCAGAATAGTAATTAAGTGGAAAGTGAAAGCATAAAAAATGCTTAAAACTTGTCAAGAATTTATAAGTAACATGCCTTGAAATAATCTTATTGGGTGACAGACATGCTCAGTTACCTTGGCTGTAGGGTTCCCTGAAAATTTAGAAGTAGGAGAGAAACTAATGAAGCCATCAAGGTATGCAGCCTGCAGTAGCTGGTTGTAAGACAAGACATTTGTATTCCTGAATCAGTTCCTTATTCTACTGGTGAGGGACACTGCTGGGTTTTATTCAAAGCAATCTGTCTTTTTTATAGGAAACTCATGAAGGAATGTAGGGCTATTCAAGGATTGATTCTGTGTGGTGCTGAGTTTGAGTAACTGTTTATGCAAAAGTGCTCAACTCCCACCCAAAGTCTGTGGGAGTTAAAACTAAGGCTTTTAAGTTAAGCTCACAAATAAAGATTAATAGTCAATAAGTGGTACTAAAGATATTTTTATGAAAAGCTTTGCATGTTTTATGTTGCCCTGCACTTAGTTCTTAATATATCAACAATGTTTGTGTTGG